ATCACACAAACACTTGCAATAAAATTCGAAAAAGTAAAGACTGGTCAACTCGTCTGACATGCAATTTAGTCATAAGCTGATCTTTATCGTCTATAATCAGTAGAGCATGCTAAAATGTAACAGATCTAACAGACTCTGTGTAACCTTTTACCTCACGATGATTGAAACATATCGAATAGTAATATCAATAGAAGTAACTGTTGTAAATTCATTATTCATCGTTGATATATAAAAATGTTGAGTTGAAGGCCACAGCAAATACCATTTTCTTCTCATGAAGAAGCTTTTGAAACATGTTGCTTCATGGGAAATTAAAAACAGTTTGGATAATAAAGAAGCGCAATTTGTGCTCATAGGAATTGTTTGAAGTAATGTTTTCCGAAGACAACAAAAGAGGAAAGCTAACTTTAAAAAAAAACAACTTCAGAGTAATTTGATGTAGATTGAAAGTGATTTTCACCAAAGCAATTATGTTGATGACAAATATAAAAGAAAAACTTCCATTTTTGTTGAAGAAGCAGTTGACAATGAAATCAAAAAGCGTAGTTTTAATTTTTTATGAGAAACAAGCGCAGGGGATAGCCGCACGTTTTCGTGTTACTGACTTTTGAAAATTTCTTTGGAGTTTTTAAGAATCATCATGTGATTTTTATCATTTCTAGATTGTGCTAGAGCACACTAATCTGAAGTTTCTACTTTAAAGCAAAATGTATGGAATAGAGATAGGGGCTTGGTAAAGACATTGCTATATATATATTATCATTTTAAACAAAATTTGAGTCTACATCAGGTAAAAAAAAATCCAAAGCAATCGAATAACCATTGTTTGAAGATTTCATTTAGAAAATCTACTTATGAAGGTATTTGAAATTTCATAATCATGAGCATTAGCATTAAAACATTTAGCACACACATTACTTAAATTTCGAAAAGTAAAATAATTCCATGGCATGAAAAAAAAGCTAAAATTATCTTAGTTTTTGTAATGTTTATATGCATCCTTATTGTTAAATATAAAAATCAATTTATAGATAAGATATTCTTAGGAATTATATTTTTCATAGAAATGCAAGAGAATTATTGAATTTATATTATAAGCTCAACATAAAGAAAGAAATTGGTGCAAAGAAAAAAGAATCTTTCTTTGAATAATTTTAATTAGTTGTTCTTCTAAAACTCACTTAATTGACGAAAAATTCAATATAACATTGAAATGAAAAAAGCTTTGATCTTGGGGGTAAATAAAGCTGATTTGAAGTAAATTGATTTATTTCAAGCGCATGAAAATATTAACAATACATAATCAATAAAGGACATTTTCTTAACGTTTGTTTTCCATCTCCATTTATCACAACCTCAACAGTGAAACGGTATTGTCAACACTGTAGATGTAAGAACTGCTTGATTCTTTCCTTTCATGATAAAGATTATGATAAAAAAACATTGATCGATATTTAAAAATCTACAAATAATAAAACACGGACCATCAGCATTTAAAGAGTTCAAGAAGGAGTAGGCATCCCTGTCACAGTCCAATATTAGAATGAAAAAGTCAGCTAAAATTCGTCCGAATGATGTTAAGAATGCTGAAAGAAGATCTCGAATTACAAAACGCTGACTTTAAACTTGGTTGTTACAATCCCTGAAATATCATTTTATCTGTCAGCAACCTGTCATTGGTTAATTTTTTTGGTGAGGATGCTTTAGAGAACCGAATAAGATAGGAGACGTTAACCCATTATGCAAGCGGAATATTACTACATAAATAAGGCGGAAAAAATATGGAAAACTGAGGTTTGTCATATTATTTAGATGTTAGATGACCTTTTCGGTCATATCACCTAAATATGAAATAAATGTGACAGACTTTATTATGTTTTTTAACATGCCCGAGTTCACTGGAATACAACAAATCATATGTATTGAAATTTCTATTTTTGGTTGATAAAACGCTGTCAGCATAACTGATTGTTGCTACAATATGTTTTCACCTTATGCATATGAAATAATATGTTGTATGTCAACGTTTGTTGGAAAACCTTTTTGCATAAATAATGTTGTCATTGAGGCATCGAACTTCCCATGAATATCATTTTTAGAGTACCCGAACAAACAATACATCAGTAGGAATAATAACATTCCTATCTATGGTCAATCTTATAATGACCTCTTTCAGTTTTATGATAGCATTTTCTACAAGTTGTAAATAACAAGTATGTATTGAAATTGTTATTTATTACTATATATTTGATTGATATTTTCGAAACGCTGTCAGCATAAAATGACTGTAAATCGGCTGTCTAGTTGAAGGCTACAATATTTTGTGAAAGGCTATTGTGATCAGTAATAGTGAACAGATTGTTGTCTGGGAATATTTTATTCGTGAAAATGATAATCGTTGCTGAAAAGACACAAGAAACACGTCCGAAGTTTGATGATAAAAAGTTGGAGGAATTTCGGTCGCTGGAAAGGGATGGATGGATCCGATAGGAATTTGCAATTTGATCAAAAATATTCCACGGTTTCAGTAACTAAAGGCATTTAATAAAACACTGAACACAATAATTGAACTACAAAACGCTGTTTTGGCAGCTGTTCATGTCTTTTCCAACCACATTTATCGTTAAAATTTAAAGATAAAATAAAAGTTTATCATGAAAATTTAACCAAAGGTCTATACAAAAAATAAGGATGAACGTTAGTGCAGCTGACAAAAGTGAAGAAAAATGTAAACAAACGCTAGGCTCCTAGTTTTCTCTATGTACACAGGTTGAATCGATTGCCCAAAAACTGTATGAAATACTTGTTTACATTTTAAATAAAATAATTATCATTTTACTTGCTTGTTTTGTTCATTTTTATACATGAAAAGCAAGTAGAGCAGGTCATTTTATAATTTATGTACCGGTAGATATTATTGCGCCGTGTGATTAGGTCACGCATTGACCTCTGACCTCTGACAAACTTCATACAGAAATGAAGATATTTTCTCTCTGTATGTTTATATAATGGAGAGATACCACAAATGTATATATGCATTGGTATTAAGGATATCCGATCCTCCAGGAAGGATAACTCCAAAAATCAATATTTTATTTGAAGATTGAAAATGAAATTTTTTCGTGCAACAATTTTCATGTTATTCATCTTTATAAGATTCAAGGTTTTTTAGAAGTCTTAGAAAAGGTCTTATAAAAGTTGACATTTGTACCCTATAAAAGGGAAAAAAATAAATACAGTTTTAGAGAAATAAGATTTTCTTGAATCCTGCCTTAGATATCAATGCTTATTAGCATGATATGAAAAAAGAAGTGTTTTGTGGTGTCTTGCAATGATAGCAAAAGCCTTTTACACTATGTATTATAGAGTACATGTCGGAAATAGAGGACAAAAAAAAACCCAAATAAGTATAAAAATCACGACAATTTCTCTGAATGCCTGGATACCTATCGTTTTTTAACCAAAAATATATTTGTTGATCAATTTGCAATTAGAAAATGCATTGCTGATATTCCAATTTGCTTTTCCTGCAAAAATATTGGAGATTTGACAATTTTCCCTATATAATATGATTAACTTTAATCTTTAACTTTAAACAAATAATGTGGATAAATTTACATTACTTTGTGGATTCAGAGATATTTTTATGAGTATTTTTGATTACTTAACTGCTAATTTTATAAACCTGAAGATCGGACTACCTTAATGAGATTTATCAGTAAACAGAACAAGAACAACAGAAATGACCCACATTGGATGCTTATTCCTCCGTGGCTCCTAATCTCGCATCTGACGATTCGATTTCAGAGTTTCTTAATTGTTCTATTTACAATGAGTTTGTTTTATTGGACTATTGAGGACTCTTTATATTCATATTTTATTTCTGAACTCTACGTTAAATGTTGATATGATGGTAACTGCAACTCACACAGCAAATGTTTGTGTACATTACCTTTACAGTCCTTTCTTGACATTTCATCTTATTCACAAAGCATGAAATGAAAATGGTGATAAGAAACAGAAATCAACGAGATACAATACAAAATGGGAGTAGAGCAAATTTACAGATTTGAAATATGTGTTATATTCAAGGTCAGAAGTTTCGAAGAAAGCCAAGACTATTCTTTCATAACGGATTAAAATAGCACTCCATTCGCAATGAAAAGAATTGCCCACGTGTCGCAGTGGTTAGAGCGTCCGCTCTCCTAGAGTCGCGAAGTAAAGAGTTTATCCTTACGTCACGGGTTCGCCAGAAAAAAATATCCCTCACTGCTCAATGGCCCTGACTGCGGAGCATTGGACAAAAATTTGCAGCTCTTTATCGGCAAGTGGTGGCGTCTCCATATGAGTGAAAAATTCTCGAGAGGGACGTTAAACAATACACAATCAAACAATCAGCAATGAAAGAAAACAACATTTAAATTGGTTAACTCGCCGAGTACCCTGTCCAAGAATCTGTATTTGGTTGATCAGATAATTTGGCTTAGTTTATTTTCAGGTCACATAATTTGGGATGATAATTGTCAAAATAATAATAAAAAAATAACTTGCATTGATGAACGATGGAGAGTAGGATCCAGAGGTCATTGGGGATTTTAGTTCCTCCCAGACATCGCACGATAATAAAGTTTATCTGATTCCAAATTACATCGTAGATTTTACTGTAGAATATTTCTTTTATAGCTTGATATTTTTGTTCAAATCTAATAATATCGTTAAATCCATCTGCAAAAGACAAGTAAACAACTAAATGCCACTTGCTGAGTTCCTGGGGACATTAACTGGTCTGTTATTGTCACGTTAAGGCTATATTTGGAAATTTAGTAAATGCTTATAAAATTATAGCAGGGGGTTTTAAGTGATAACTTAATTATAATTTTCTGTTTATGATATACACTCGTAATGCTGCATCTTATGACGTTTATGAATTATAATGTTCACCAATGTTAATTCGAGCTGAAATTAGCAGTGAAATGAGCCTGTGAAGTAATAAGCTGAGATTTTTCAATAACTTTTCTTTATTTTCTGAGATTTCATAACACAAGATCGCACAAAACAATACACCACAACGGTCTATGACGGATATGCTTTCCAAAACAGTTAAACAAACAACACACATCAAAAGACGTTTTTGTGGATTTCTTAAACAAACTCAAAAAGTTGAGGTTAGTCGATATATTTTATCAAGTTCCTCGCCTCGCCTACAACTGAAAAGAAATCTTACAATGAAAAATTCATGAAAATTACAACACAACTAGACAATATCATCCTAAAAAAACACTATCAAATGTGTTGAAGTCTCGTTAATGGACTTCATCTTGAAAAAACACAACACAAAATTTAACTGTGTAATCAGTAAAACAAAATAACAACTGTTTTGTTTTATCATGTATTATAAAATTGTTTAAAACAGAAGTTTTTCCCAGCTTTTACACGTCCTCTTGAAGAGTTTGACTCTCCTTATCGACGTATAACCCGTCTCCTTCATTTAAAGAACTGGCACTTCCGTTTTTTGGCTGGTGGTTGACATTTTCAGCGGTAGTAATCATAGTTGCCATCTCAAATTTTTCGGCTTTTTTCTTATCTTCTACCGATGTCTTCTTCTTTTGACTAGATTTGGGGAAAATGCTGTTCTCATGACAAAGGCTCTTATTTACATCATTTGATGACGCACACTGAAAAGCCTTCACAAAACTGCGACGAAAATTTTCACTCAGAAAAGCGTACAGAAGAGGATTAAGCATACTATTGGCGAATTGTAGCACAGTTAGTCCATTAAAAAGATAGATTTCCCATTCCTCTAGTTCACGTTTTAGGAACGTTAAATTTATCTGAAACACCCAGTATGGCAACCAGCACACTACATATACTGATATCACTGCTAAAACCATTCGTGTGACTTTTCTATGTGAGCGTTTTCGCTCCTTTGATTTGATGGCCGGTCCAACGTTTTGTAAACGTAATATGACGGATATATAGAGAACTGATATCAGGGAAACTGGTATAAGGAACCCCAATAGAAATGTGTACCACGTGAACGCTTTGTCTGCTGGAATAGCCTGACCTTCTGGCCACATTATGGTACAGGTCTGATGACTGGTGTCCGAGTTGGCGTATGTGTTCGAATATAGAATAATTGGGAGCATAATGATGAACGAGACGGACCACATAACAAGACATACAAGAAAAGCAATGGTTGTATTCCGATACCTGGAGGACCTCACTGGATGACATACGGCAAGGTATCGGTCAGCGCTTAACGCAGTAAGTTGAAATACACTCGCAAAGAAATTGATGGAAAATAACACAAAGTAAATTTTGCACATGGCTGTCCCAAAAATCCAGTGTTTTATGATTGTTGTCACAATAAGAAAAGGTAAACTAGCCAGAAACAATGCGTCCGAAACAGCAAGGTTCAGGATGTACAAATTAGTGACTGTCTTCATTTTGGCGAATCTTAGCACAACATATATAACAAGCCCGTTTCCTATTAACCCTACCACAAAAATTAAAGAATATGAAGTCACTAATATGACAGTCTTTGCAGTAATTGGAAAGATGCCAAATGAGGTGGTTCCATTTCTGGTATCATTGACGTCACAGTCATAGTTCCACTCCGGTGTAGTTGCATTAAGCATACTCTCTGTTGTTATGGATGATAACGTCTGCAATGTTTCAGCCATTTTGCATGGGTAATATTCACTATCATGAACTATACTTCTTTATCCATACTTCAAAAGATGCGAATGCAATCTTCTTTCTCGTCAAACTGTTTTGAAATTTATTGAAACAGGTTTATACGACTGGATAAGCGGTTGTTAGTTCGTGGCCTGCAATGTAAAAACAAAAGATACTTAAACAGTTGTCATAAATCATCATTGATAATAAATGCAATTCAGTCAAACAAAACCCATATTTTTTTAAATTTTAATTTCGAATAAGTGTATGTCATTGAAAAGTTATGTATACTACTCCTATGTGTAACTTATGCAATGTTTGAGTGGCACTCGATCATGAAATGCATTTCTTCTCTTTAATAAAATGCTATCCAGGAAAATCATAAAGGTTTGACAATGTTCTAACATTTCAAACTTCTGTGAGCAGGTATGAAAAGAGTTTCGTTCATCTCAAAACGCAATGTTACAAAATTGCGATTTAAAAGATTTTGAAATTGAAAAAAGTATTCTTGCAGCATAATGAAGTATGTATTTAATGCCACATTTAATTCTTCGTTATCTTTGTTACTTTCCTAGAAATGTGTTAATCTATGACACTTCCGTGCAGATTGCAGTAAACCGGTCATGTAGAATTATATGCTTCAATTTGCGTTCTCATAGTTATTAATACCTCAAGATAAGATTACCTGCCAACCTTTGAAGCTAATTCCATAGACATAATGATCGATAGTTCAAGTATATCACACAGATTAAGACAAAAAGGGAACTTATAATTATAAATCTAAGTAGGATTTATTACAACTACTGGATTTTTACCAGATATTGTGCAGGCACTGATAGAGTCTGGAATACTATACATAATAAAACTAAACTCATCATGGACTGACTGATTGTTTGCATGTTCATTTACGATTTTCACCAAAATGAAGACAGGTACATGTATGTACCGGTTAAAGGCATCAAATCTAGACTTTTACTCAGCTCTAAGGGACATTATGATTAACACTGAGGGCTCATTATCGTACCAACGCCTGTCGTGACACGGGACCCCCGTTTTTAAGGTCTCATCCAAAGGACCGCGACTTTCACTTAAAAGGAACTGTTGCTTCTTACTTTTCATCGACTTAGGTCAGTCGTGACTGAAGTTCGGACTTACGACCTTAAGACCATAGAGTAACTCATCAGTAATAAACATGTACATGAAAAGTCGATGATCTTGATTTATTTATATATTACTAGTTTTATGTAAATAAAGCTTATGTGAAATAAGGGCTTGATTGATAATATTTTTATTTTTCAATACACATAAAAATAGAGCTATGTATAGAAAATATTGTTCCGTGTGTTTCCATCACGATACTACCTCTAAGTCTTAGGAATTTTTACAAAATAAAATACTTAAACTTAGTTTTTAGTATAACATGACAAGAAAATGATATCAGTAAAGCAAATAAGTTTTAATGTGTTGTTTTTCTAGAAACTTGTCTGATTAATAGCTTTAGAAATATATACCAGTGATTGAAAAGATTTAAGAATCGAATTTTTTTTTTCAAATCGGAAAGTTAACTCGTAATATTTTTAGATTTTCTGTAATTTTACAAAATATGCTAGCCTTTTGCTTTATTGAATAATAGCCTGAAACTAAAAGGAAAAAAAACCGAAAGAAATTTTCTGCCTCAATTTATTTGGACATTATACTTTTTAAATATGCATCTAGTAGCTCATTTTACAGTAATTTTGCATAAAAAGGCAAGCGTGCATGATGAACTTGGTTTATGGAATACATCAATTTTGAAAGACTGTCAATTCTAACCCGTATTTTTCAAAATTTTCTTGCAGAATTTACATATGTTATTCATCAGCTGTTTCATTCAATTACCAGTCAAATTCTCATTGAATATAAATGAAACTTTTTCCATCATAAAGAGATATTTGACGGATAGGTTTCTAGTTAACTGTGAATTTTGTCATGTTTCAAGAATTATTTTCCTTTATTCTGTTGCATATCTCTTCGAACATAGTTTCAAGGAAGAAAAATATAAATAAATAAAAAGCGTTTTCTGAACACATTCAATTTTTAAACCGATGCAAGCTCCCGACAAATACGTTGATATCAGAGGGATTTCATTAGTTTCGATAAAGTCAGTATTTTGTAAATTTTATGTTCGTTTAAATGAACTTGTAAGGAAATGCAACTTTTCACTTGGCGGTATTTTACTTTAACATTTCACACAAATGTTAAGGCATTTTATTTTTAACTTAATTTGACTAAAGAGTGTTCATTTACCCGATCAATGCATAAGGTTTGTGGCGAGTGCGGCTAATCGACTAGAGATGCTTACTTCTCCTAGGTACTTGATGTCACCTTTTTCTATATTCTGTGATTCATGTCGTTTTTTGATGGATTCCTATTGTTTGAAAGATTTTTTTTTTTCAAAAACAACCCTGTTCATAATCTTCACTTATTTCATTATAAGAATCAATTATTTCAATGTTTGTTTTTTGTTCCAACAATAATCAAAATAATTACATCCAATGTAAATAATGTTCATGTTATTGGTATTGATACATCATGGTCAAGTATCGAATCTATCATTTGACTTTTCACTCATATTGAGACGTCATCACTTGCCAATGGAAGGCTGCAATTTTAGACCTAAACTCGACACCCGAGGCAATTGTGCAATGGGAGATCTTTATCGTACCAGCACCTAATGCGACACATATATCTCGTTTACTCGGTCTCATCCGAAGGACACATCTAAATTAAACATCCGGCAGAAATTTCGAACAGCTACGTAAGTGCTAGAACCACAGCGACTCGCAGGCAGGAATAAGAATTTCTACCATTTTAGATGCATATCCATTTGAAACGTAGACAATGAAAAATTCAGTGGTTAATATTAAGTCAACTCAGGTTTTGCTACACTAGTTTCGTAAAGCGTGATGAATTTCTTAATACAAAATCTGGAACAAACCTCTGCAGCACAATTGAAGGTTAGAAATACCAGAAAGCCCCAAAGGAGCAATTGAAAGTGAAAGTTTGCGAATTAATTTCCGATTGCTTCTAAAAAGCGAACTTATCAGGGCTTCCGAGTCTGTGAAGTTGCAGAACGAATACGTGTTTTCCCTTGATTAACAAGCCCATTTTGTTGCGATGCCTATCTGTTTGAATTTATCACCACTGTATAATTCTTTTAAGGCTCATCCTTTAAGAGCCCTTTGGGAACTTCTATTCAGTATTGAAAAAATGACAGGAAAGTATCAGTTGATTTAGATGCCCGTAGCTGTTTATCATAAAGAAAAAACATGAAGTCACCCAAAGATCAAAATAACATACAAACGACCTTTCATCACTTTGTTAATGTTTTGCCTGACAGGACAGCATTAGCTTTATTTGCAATTTTTGCAACAGTTTAAAAGGTATGAAGGTGTTATTTCGGAACGAAGTTAAGTTATAAATCATAACAATGTTAAATGATTTCTTTTGGTCACAGATGAAAAACTTAAAGGTCATCAGGCTGAGACGATAGTTTGTAAAATAATACTGATAAAAACTTGTTGGGAGACATTGTGATATTTTAAGAGGAAGTGAGGAGGACCAAACACTAATTCAAATTTTTTTTTGTAATTGTGTAAGATGACGTTCATGTATTTCAAGCATCTTAAACCAATCATCAATATCAATACTAAAATCTCCGGATTGTTTAAACAAAATTAAAAATTTGTTGCTTTAAATACTGTAAAGATATGAGGTTCCATAACAATATTTATCTAAAAAGTCATCTTTTTTTCATTAAAAATGGCAAAAAATAAAGCACTTTTATAAAATTTACATAAAATGAAAATTCTAAAAATGATTTCCTTACCGTATTAATTTTTTTTGAACCTCAATCGAAAAGATGTTACGTCCTCTCTAAATTAAGAACGCATACCATAAGACCAACTTTATTAGTAACATAACGGTTTAGTATCAGAGATACAACAAGCGGCGGTGTAAAATCGATTGCTATTTATAGTGGAGTAAAATGAAACAACAAGAAAAGGTTGCAATTGGTAGGCTAGCTATCTCATCTTCATTTTATTTTAATGAAAGCATTAATTCAAGTGAAAAAGTAAAGAACTAATGAATACAATTATTAGAGGCGCTCATACTAGTACTAATAAGAAACGTTAATGCTATTAAAGGTATAAGGTACATGTATTCTTTAAATGCAAAAAATCGTGAAAATTTTCAGTGGAGCAAAAACATATTGTTTGATTTTCATTGATTCACACACCTTTTTCAAAAAAACTACAACCCACAGATAATGGCTGGAGGGCTTAAAAAAGAAACTTAAGGACATTCACCATGAGTTCAACTTCGGATCAGAAATGTTATTTAACATGGCAAAATCCATTTTTTAGTATTTAGAATTTGTTTTGTGGATCTCTGCTGTTCTTAATAAACAAGAAAGTATATTATTCTAATAACTTCAATAATAATCATCTTAGACTTTGGTAGTTGGATTAATTTTTTTTTCTGTGATGATTGTATATGTCTCATTTATTTTCTCTTTATTTTACTCTTGATTGCGTTTTTGATACTGAATTTCGTCATAATATTTCAATATGTTCGTACTGAAATATTTAAGCTATTTGTATCTTAAGTAACAAAGACGAGTTCCTTCCGAGAATAAAAGAATCTTCTTTGTGTTCTCTGATCTTTTCTTTAAAATCAAAAGTAGGTGTTATTTAGCTGTTATTTATATATCATGAATGTGCTAATATAATAAATCAAAGGTTTCTGATTGTTTCCCTGCCATTGATTTCTTTATTGTTGTTGATGTATTTTAATTAGAATATCCTTTAAAACCAATAGGTGATAATTGATGATTACATAAAACCATTTTAGTAAAGTTCCATTAATCAACTCCTTCGAAAAATGCCATTTCAGATTGCTTGTTAGTTATCTTTAAATGTACAACATTTAACTTACTTGATTGCAAGTACCTTTATTTTACAGAAAAGGAAGAGAAGGGAAATCTGGATGTTTGCCACACTTCTCTTGTTTTTTTTTTTTTTACACTGTGACAAACATCACTTGTATTCAATAATGTGAAAGGCAAAGAAAGGAATAGTCATCGAACTTTTATCTTAAAACAATGCAAATA